CGGTTTCTTGAGCGAATGTATCCTGAAGCACAAGCTCCTCTTTTTCTCCATCGACATCGACCTTTTCGGTAACTTTAGCTACGACGCCACCTGTTTGCACCGTAGGAATCGCAGGGATTCCTGATTTCCTCTCCCTCTGTTTCTGCAGGAATTTCACTTCCTCTAACGCCAACCTATACATTCAAATCCAATTTTTTTTTTAAAAAAAAACCCTAATTTAGTTTTTTTTTTAAAAAGAATAAAGGGGGAAAAGACTACCGTCTGTCTTCTTCATCGTCTGATTTGGCAGCTGGGTCATCTCTTTCGTCTTCTGGAAAGCTTCTTTTCCTGAAATTCTTGTTATTCTTCTTCGGCATTTCAAATTCAAATAATTTGTCTCCCGATCTCCTTCTCCAAATAACCAAATAACGGCACCACAGCCCAGGCAGGCACCAACTATGGGTGAGAATCTTAAAACGCAACGTTTAAAACAACAACAACAACAACAACAAAACTTTATTATCCTATACAATAAAATAAGGGAAATAAGATAATAGATTGTTTCGATAAAAATAGCTTCTGTAGAGCAACGTTTAAACAACCCAGCCCAAACCCAGATTTTTGTTTATTGAACCTGCCCTTGACGCCCAATGCAAACCCACTTCAGGCTTGAATGACTTGTCATTGGCCCAATATTTTACAGATAAATAGAAAAATATGATATTTTTAATTAGAAAAAAAATATTATTTTTAATTTTAAATAATCTATAAGCAGTGATATGTTCATTTTAAAATATATATATATATATACACTTGTAATTATACATATAAATAAATAAATTATTATAATTAATAATAGAATTATAATGATAATATATTAAAATTAAAATATTTTTAAAAAAAAATCACATATGATAAAAGTTTACATAAATTCAATAATGTAATTAGTCATTAATTAAGTTTTAAGGAATTTAATCTTGAATCTCATGATTACAAAAACTTGTCTCCCTTCATTATTCTTCTGATAATAAATCAAACCTTTCTTTTTAGTTTAATCTTTGAGGAATGAGAGGAAAGGGGAAATATATTTTAGGGTTTAAAATTGGGGTTTTATCAACAACACATAAATCTTAGAGATGATATAGATCAATGCAAATAATAAAGATAAACTATATATTAATGACCACTTAATTATTAGGAATGGAGAATAGAGCCTATATCTTAAATAGGAGATTGATGTGCCTTTACCATAAGGTCAACTCTTATATTTAATATATAAGATACAACTTATTCTATATATATCATTTTATAGTTAATGTAAAAAAATTGAACTTAACAATTAAAGAGTACGAAATTATCTAAACCACTAAAAAATTATTTTATAATTGAATCAATTTTATATAAAAAAATGATAATTAAAATACAATTAAACTAAATTAAAAGAAACCTCACAAGATTGGTAGGGCTTGAACCTAAGGTTCTCTTCAAAACTTCAATATGATTGGATAAAGTTCTTAATTACATGTACATTTGGTCTAGTGTTCTAGACCTAATTCCAATTGTTATTGCATATACAATATCATATTCAACTTCGTTTCTACCCATAAATGTCTTCAATAATTTAACAATGAAAAATATAATTAATACAAAATAGTAATCTCATTTAATTTTCTCGGGGGAAAGCTTGTTTCTCATTTTAGTAACTCCTTTGGTCCCAACTTGGAAGGTCTTGGTCAAGGCATCGTTTGGCATTGGTGGTGCTGATGTAAACAATGTGGCAGCAACCGATTGTGTTCCGGGGAACTGACTGTTGAATCCTACAATCACCGAAGCTGGTTCCGCACCATTGTTCTTCTGGAAATGAATCAAACCCATCGGATACACGAAAACGTCCCCCCCTTTTTGATGGATTTGGAGATCCATTGGTTCGATGTAGGGAAGAATCCAACGTCCAATTCTCCTTCGAGAACGAACATGATTTCGGAGGCGCGCGGGTGAGTGTGCGGCGGGTTGATGCCGCCGGGTTGAGAACGAAGATGATTTGTCTAAATGTACAATGAAAATCAGCAATCCTTGACCCTTATTATTAGTGTTTTGGAGTTTTAAAAGGAGACAATCATTTTGGATCATCTAATCAAATTAAATCACAATTTTTTTATATTTTAAATTAACAATACTGTTAAAGCGAGCAATATTGTAAAAATCGAACCAAAGGTCAAATTGGTCAAATCTCCACTTCTCAATCCAGCCAATTGAATCATATTTTAATATTTTATTTTAAAAACAACCTTTTACAGATTAACCAAACATAACATCTGTTACAATAACATTGGGGCATATTGTATGTAAATGAAATTGAGGATGTAGTGGAAGATACAAGCTGAGCCAATTGATGTGCTGCCATGTTCGCGGATCGTTTGATTGATTGTAGGTGGAAGCTAGGATTGGAGTCGAGAATGTTGCGGGCCTCTGCCAAAATGAATCGAAGGATCGACAAATCAATTTGATGATGATGGATTTGATTAACCACAATTTTTTTTTTGAAAAGGGGGTTTAATATGATTAAAAGGAATAAACTATACAAATCAAATATTGATAGGACCTCGATGAAAACCCTCTCTAATCCTATGTGGAGGGAAAAGAGTACACCTAAACAATGGAAAACATGATTCAATACTGCTATCATCAGGTACAATGTGTAAAAGTTATCCACACAATACAATCTCACAGCACTGCAACTTAAACATGAAACAACATAGCAAAAGCAGAACTTAGCTCCACCGATTCCAATCTCCATAATATGTAGAATGCCCCACACCTCTGATTAGACCAGACTAAGTTTCTCAAACTTGAAATTAGTAGTCGTAGCTCCTCTTTTTGTCATCAATTTTGTTAATATTCGATAGTTTTTCGGGTCAAAAAGATGGTTGAACACCTCTTTTTCTCTTTCTTTTCATCGATTCAAACACATTGGAAAACCTTTCAATATTTTTAAGTCTCAACTGAAACTAAAAGTTAAAATATTTTGATGTGTCATTATCAATCGTTAGATCAACTTGAAATTAAATTATGTTATTTTGTGGTCAAATAGAGTTTTTCATCACTGGGATTGATTGACAACCGCTCCGTTCATCGTAAACTTGCTAAACAAATGATTAGTAGTTTTCTTTTTCTTTACATCTTTGCTTTTTTTTATATTTGTTACTATCGATGGTTGTGAATAATGATCGAATGGTTTGGTGATGGTGGCTCGGGGTTGGTTTGGGCATGAATGGTGGTTGTGACTTTATGGTTATGATGATTATGGATCAGATTAAATGATGTCTGTGAATTGATCGATGGTTGCGAAAAGATGATAATTTTTTTTTACTATGATAGGTGTTTTGTTCAGAGATGACGACAATAAAAATAACTCAAAATGATAATAAAGCATGTAAAAAGGATCAACGAATGCCAATTAGTTTGGGAAACTTAGGTTTTTTTTATGAAGTTATATAACTTTAATGTGTCAAATGACCGTAACAAAAGCGAACAAAAAAATTTAGCGATCGTATTCAAGTTTAAAAAGTTTTGTGACTAAAATGCAATCATCTAAAAGTTTTTGGAACATTTATGCAATTTACCCTCATTATTACTATTTAGTATTATATAATAAATTTGTTGACTATAGCTGGATTGGCATTTTTTAAATGGTGTTGTTGGAGTTAAATGGGAATATTATACACATCATCATTCACACTGATTGGATGGATGGGTCTTAGTTTTGAGTGTTTCACCTTTTATTATTCCAAATAAATAAATAAATAAAAATTAAATAATCATCTAAATCTTCATTGTTTTAATATAATTAATTAAGCCCAAATCACTAAATTCTTTGTCACTGAATTGTTAGTATTTTCAATTTGGTCGTTGATCTTTTAATATTTGTATTATAATTGCTGAATTCTTTGTTCACTTTTATTATAATCATTGTCATTAGCTATCGTTAAAAAATTGACATGACGCGTAAAAAAATCCTAAGCTTATTCTTCTAAATTGATGGTCGTTACTCTTATTTTCACCGTCATTTATGTCGTCGTTCAATTGTTTTTTCGGTAGAAAAACCGTCTAATCTCTTCAAATTTCAATTGAAACTAAAAGCTAAGATTTTACGGTCAACTGTTAGATCAATTTGAAATTGGATTATGTTAAGCTTCTAGCCAAACAGAACCTTCCCGTCATAGGGATTGACAATAACAACTCCATTCATCGAAAACTTGTCAAAGTTGAGGTGGGTAATTTTTCTTTTTCTCATATTTTTTCTTAATTTCTTGACTTATATTCGTTGTTGTTTATTGTTTTGTGTTGTCGATGATTGTGTTTGTGGATGGTTATTGCAAGAATGTCAACATAAACGACGAGGAAAGGAGGAACATCGGTTGCCCATTGGAAGAAGAAGCATAGGGGATCTCTTTAACGTGCCGCATCAACTTTTTAACGAAGTGCTCATAATGAAAACGAATTAAAAGTTCAGTGGTTGTGATGTAAATTTTAAACGATTAATGACCAAAGTGAAAGTGCTATAAAAGCTTGATGAACAAAGTGTACGTGGTGTAAAAGTTCAATGGCCATCAAAATGTAATTTACCCTTTTCAAAATAAAAGTTGTAAAAAGTATCAACCTATCACGTGAAAACATATCAAATTAATTTAATTTCACAATAATCTAAATAAAAAGCTGCACCGAGGATGCCGAATTCATACCCCTTTGTACCCTTGCATAGTTGACGAACTAAACTCAATAAAATCCACTACAATTAATTTATTAAGTTTTATTATCAACAGCATCATTTGTTTTGTTTCGTTCAAACGTGTATACTGATATAATATTATAATATAACTTTCAACGCTAACTTAACATTAAGAAATAAATAAATTTTATAAAGTGGTTGAAAATTTTGAGCACAGATTCTGGGGGATTTTAAAATATATATATATAAATATAAATGCTCTTAAAAAAACCTTTTATAGCAAACGATTTTTTGGCCCAATACAACAAGCGGGTTAAATAGTTAGTCCAATTCTTCATTTGCACAGTAAAGGTGAGCTAGCTGTTGCAGCCTTAATTCCTTTTGTTCATTATGTATCTCATGCCTTATTCAGATTTGATATTTATGATAGGATAGTTCCACCATTATTCATTAGAAGTATGTTTTATGATGGACTTTGAGAATCAATAATGCATAAATGTTCACTAGAAGAGTTAGATTTTGTTTCGTGAGTCGAGTATATCTTCTTAGTTACAAACTTTGAATCGATTACTTACCCTGCGCTTGTTTATTCTGCTTATAGCTGAATGCTGGCCTGCTCTGCTGGTATTTAGCTAATTGATCATGTTGCCGAATCAGTTGCAATGCACAAATATTCATATGCCCCAGTTTTTTTAGCTTAAGTTGGTTTAATTTAGATAAAGTGTATCCAGAGATAAAGACTCCTAAAACAGTATGTACCCTTTAATAACGCAGTAAAGTAAACATGGTTAGGACTCTAATACATTTCGACATTTACAGACTCCATGGCTGGACAATCGGCATGTTGTTTTCGGACACATTATTGATGGAATGGATGTTGTGCGCAAACTAGAATCCCAAGACACAAGCAGGTCAGATACCCCCGAAGGTGCCATGCAGAATTGTGAATTGTGGGGAGCTACCGTTAGAAGGCTAACTGCCTCCACAAAAACATGGAATGCACTCTTTTTTTCTTCTTCTTCTCTCTAGCAGGACGAGTTTACTTGATAATATGTAATTTCAGGGAAATTTGGATGATGCAAGCTCTTGACATGATTGTGCTGTTCATATCAGTTTTAGGCCAATACAAGCCAGCAGATTTTATCAAAGCCTCGTAATGGAACATCTGATCTTACTAATTTTAAAACATCTCCCATCAATATTAGTTATTTCTAGTTCTCTATATTATAAGCTCAAGATAAACTGTCTCATGTACCTGATGATATGTAATTTCTGTAAACACTTAGTTACATGAAAGCAAGGTAATCCATCAATATTAACCATAGAATCAGAGAGAGAACGGTCTCAAACACTTGGAGAAAAAATTCAGTAGAAAACATTTAAAAGAATTATAGTGCCATCATGAAAACAAAGACCTAGATCAGTAGCATGAATGAAAGAGGTGGTTATGCGCTATCCCAGAAGTGAGTGATGGGGCCTGTTCATATGAAACTAAAATACTCTATGTTTGGGGTTGATGCTGAAATGGCTGAGGTGGTGAGCATATTTTCTCTTTCGTTTTTACTCTATGAATTTGCTCAACAAAATCTGACCCGAAACAATAATGATCGATTGTTGAAAATTTTATCTTTCCTTTTTACTCTGACTATGAATTGTTATACTTTAATTTGATGACCAAAATAGAAACATGGTGAAAATTGGGTGATATTTATAATTTTATCCTAAAGATAAACTAATTCTTCTCCAGCCTGTTTCATCGGGACTAGGGTTAAGGAGGCCCAAGAAGACTGGAAATAAATTTTAGGGCTCACTGGGCCAGAAGCCTCCACGTCCCCCTCCATTCTTGCTTCGCAATTTCATGGACACGACAAAACCCACGTTGCCTTGAATACGGTTGAAAGTTGAAACTCGAAGCCTTCGGTTTAAAACACAACAATGTTTTATTTTCGTTTCAAACATCTCGATGTCTTCTAATTTGCGATCTCTTTGGCTTAGTAAATTATAAGTTCGTAATCAGATCAAGGGTACAAATTTGCTTTTTTTGTTAGGAGAAAATAGATGGTGCTTTGAATTAAACGCGCCATGAGTTCTTTGAATCAGCTAGGGCGGCTCGTGAATGGACTTGCCTTAGTAGCTAAAGAGGTCGCTAAACGCTCCCAAACGATCGAGCGCGCCAAAAGTGGTGATCTCGAAACCCTAATCTCTTCTTCCTTAAAAAGCGCTCTAGTTTCGGCTACGGACCTGACGGGCTTAACTAAAGGGAAGGTACACGAGTTTTCCAAGCCTGGACCCAAAGAATCAGTCGTCTACTTCAACAGCAACAGTGTCGGCGGCGGCGAGGACGTTGTAAATTCTTCTTCGAACGAAACCGCGCGTGCTGACCTTACCGGCGATGAAAAGGTCGATTCTGATAAAGGCGTTAGTCATAACGGTCAACAAATTGTTGAGGAGAAGGTTGTTAATGATGGATTAGAAAGAGGATTTGAATCCAGTTCGGACAGTAAGAGCTATGTGGACGACGCCGAAGTGGTGACAACGGCGACAGAGGCGCCAGTACCTGTGAAGAGACGGAGGCCACGGGAAAGGAAGGTTCCCGCTACTCCATTTTCTAGAGCATTTGGGTAAATTGTGTGTTTCTTTTAATGTTTTATCATATATTGCTACTGCAACATTATATGTTTTTTTTGCTACATTTCTAACTAGTTATTTGTTTAACATCAAAAGCTTTGCTTCTTTAGGAGCTGGTCTAGCTTGGGGAACAGTTCAGGAATCTGCCAAGAGGCTTGTTTATGGTTCTCCAAACTCAAATGAAAAGCAGTCTGCTGTTTCACCATTCTTGTCCGACAAAAATGCAGAAAGATTGGCCCTTGCATTATGTAGGATGCGTGGGGCCGCTCTAAAAGTCGGACAGATGTTAAGCATACAGGATGAATCCCTTGTTCCAGCTCCGGTATGCCGACTTATGTTTTTTTCCTGCTGTATGTGTTACAGTGGTGCTTAATTAATGTAATTTGATAGTGGGAAAAAGTTCATTCTGTGAATGGTATATTTGTGGTTCTTTGTTGAGAATCAATTTAAAAATATGTGTTGCTGGAGGTTTTGGTTTATATTTTCTGATTTTCTGATTAATGTTACTTGCCTAAAAGACTTTGTACAGTGGCTCAATCATATTTTTACCTTCTTTCATTTTCTGTAGATATTAGCTGCTCTGGTTATTGTGCGTCAAGGCGCAGATGTGATGCCAAGGAGCCAGCTCAATCAAGTTTTAGATGCTGAACTTGGTCCTGGTGGTCATCAAAGTTGACTAGCTTTGATTATGAACCCTTGGCTGCTGCAAGTATAGGCCAGGTAAGCAAAATGGGTGCGTGTTTGTCGTGTTGTTATGCTGACTATGTCTTTAACCTTTTAAGGAAGAATGTTTCTTTGTCTATATGTTGCTTCATGCTACAAAGAGTCTTTATGTACAATATGTTGTATCTATGCGTGGACATGTTAATATCAATTACTCATTTTATTTCTGGCATTGATGTTATTTGGTTGGAATGGATCATTGTTTAATGCTCTGGCATTTCTATTATTTTCAACCTTCACTTGTGTTCACTGGTGCTTTATGTGATAACTGCCTTGTGCAAATTAATTTGTCCCTAGCAATTTGACGTTTGTTACTACTTGCACATGGTTTCCTTCTTTTGTATATGTGAAATTTATTTTTTGAGTTTTTACTTATGCTTGTTGGCATTTGAAAAATGACCATGCTTGTTTGTACTTTTACTCTTTCTCGCTTTCCCTTCAACCATCTCTGTTTCATCATTTCAGATGGTGTTCACTGGTGTTTTATGTAATCATTTAACTGCCTTGTGCAATTTAATTTGTCCAATGCAGTTTGATGCTTGTTACTAGTTACTACTTATGGTTTCCTTTTTTGTATGTATGAAATTCAGTTTTTAAGTTTTTGCTTATGATTATCAACATTTGAAAAATTATCATGTTTTTTGTCCATTTACTGTTTCTCGCTTTCCCATCAACATGCTCTGTTTCATCATTTCAAATGGAATATATTGCTCAATGAGGTGACTTGGATGAAGCAACTGTTGTCTGATTTGTCTTATCATATCAGTTTTAAACTGGCCTTCTTTTTCCTTTTCTAATTCTAGGTTCACAAAGCCGTCGTGAAGGATGGTATGGAGGTAGCAATGAAAATTCAGTACCCTGGTGTGGCAAATAGCATTGAGAGTGACATTGAGAATGTCAAACTTCTATTAGATTATACAAATCTAATTCCTAAAGGATTGTATCTTGACAGAGCAATGAAGGTATGCACTTATGCATTTGAACTTGCATTATTAAGTTTCTAAGAGACTATATTAAGTAAATGATTGGCCTTCCAATGTTAGTTTAATGGACACTTAGACGGCGTTTGGTTCGCTGGAATCTCTTGGAATTGGTTGGAATTGGAATCCAATTCCACCACTTTCCCATGTTTGGTTCAAGTTTTCCAAGGGAATTGGAATTCCTCATGGCTTTAACTTTCCATCAAATGAGAGAAAGTGAATTCCATCCGAGAATGGATGGAATTCAATTCCCTTGTTGGAGGGAATTAAAATTTGACCATACTACCCTCATCAATCTTTTGGTAATTTATTCATATATTGAATAAAAATATTTTTTTATTATTTCGGGTCAAGTCGGGTTTTTAATTCATATATTCGGGTCGGGTGAAACTTTATTTTGGTCGGGCCGGGTCGATTTTTTTAAGTGTGATATTCGGGTCGGGTCGAGTTCGGGTTTAGGGTGAAAAATACCCGACCCGAAAATATATATAATTTTACCTTATATATTTAGGAATAATTACAATAATACCCCTCTATATATAATTTTTTTCAATTAAGTCACTATATTGAATAAAAATAATTTTTTTATTACTTCGGGTCGGGTCGGATTTCTAATTCATATATTCAGGTCGGGTCGGGTGAAACTTTATTTTGTTCGGGTTGGGTCTGGTTTTTTAAGTGTGATATTCGGGTTCGAGTTTAGGGTGAAAAAACCGGACCCGACCTGAAAAAAATATATAATTTTACTTTATATATTTAGGAATAATTACAATAATACCCTTCTATATATAATTTTTTTCAATTAAGTCAATGTTTTTATTGAATAAAAATAGTTTTTTTATTATTTCATGCCGTGTCGGGTCGGGTTTCTAATTCATATATTGAATAAAAATAGTTTTTGGTATATTTTTTGGTAACTAATTAACATACTCCGATTGGAATGTATCGAAATATTGCTCTATCTTTTGGTAACTTATTAACATATTTTGATTGCGATGATTTTAACTTATGATGTTTATTAGCATGCTTTTTATAATTTATTGAAATGAATAATCAATCAATAAAATGAAAATTTAATATTTTTTAATTTTTTATAATATATTACTACATGTAAGTTGTAAAACAAACTAAAATAAAGCAAAAAAAAAACAAGAAGGGCAATTCTGTCATTTTACATTATTGAAATCAAATTCATCTGACATGTCTGCAAACCAAACAGAATATGGAATTGGATTCCAATTCCTTCACTGATTTCAATTCCCTCATAAACATTCCAACGAACCAAACGCCACCTTACAGATATAGGTTAGAATCTTTCCCTTGCATTGTCTGATCTTTATTCCCACACCTTTTAACCGGTTCTTGTCGTACTTTTCCATGCCTCCTCAAAATGGGTGCTTAGTCCTGTATTTTAGTTCAACAAATTGGACGTTTATGCTTTTGAATTCTTGCAGGTGGCTAAAGAAGAATTGTCTCGTGAATGTGACTATCAGTTGGAGGCATCCAATCAGAAAATATTTCGTGATATGCTATCTGGCTGTGAGGGATTTTATGTTCC